GGATCAGCCGGAAGGCCGGGTAGATGTCGTCGCCGACGGTCTGGCGCCAGTGGGAGATGAAGCGCTCGATCACGTCGCGGCGCCGCTCGGCGGGGTTCAGGCTGGTGGAGGAGGCGCCTTGCCCGTGCGGGCCGAGTTTGCGGCGGGCGGCGGGGGCGCGTTGGGCGGTGGTGGTGGAGGTGGGTTGTCTCTTGATGGCGCTGAGGGGGTTGAATAGGGTTTCGAAGAGGGTGTGGAATGGAGGTGTCGGGGAGTGGTTGTGCGGGCGGTTGGGGTAACTTGTTTGTTTTGAGTCTCGTGGTTAGTGTCTGAAGCCTGGGGAAGGAGGGGCTTTGAGGCGATGGAGCAGAATAAGCAGCGGATTGTGAAGAACAGACAGAGTGAACTGGTTGGGGGCTGATGTTGTTTTTGATTCAATTTCTTGAACTCACTTCTCATCTAGATCCATGTCTTCATGCGCATGCTCCGTCCCCGCCGGTGGATTGAGCGTGCTGCTGCTGCCTTCTACCTCCATATTCTCATCGGAATCCATCTTGCAAATGTTGCAGTCGGCTGCACTGCGCTGAAGGTGAGGGATGTCTGATACCAAAGAAGCATGTTCGGAATCAAGCAAGAAAGAAGCAACGGTGAGGGTGTGGGCTGTACGTAGTAGATAAAACCCCCGGCCTGCATTTTTAGGCGGCAGCTCCCGATAAGATAACACCACAGCATGTGACGTGACATCACTGCCTAAACTGCGGATTGTGAATGACTTCGAACTCACTGTGCTGGAGGTCATTGCTTGCGTAGATTGTGTAGTTGTATTTATTCTCTGTTACTCATCCTACATCATCTATTGAGTTTATCTATCACTATGCGAAGTGAAATGTGCATATGTAGGTTTGCGTTTGTATGTGTATGTGTATAAATGCAGCTTTGGTGGCCATGCACACCAATGCACAATGGTATAGCTCACACTTGCGAGACTAGATCGGCCAGTCTGGATAGGATAGACTTAAGTTTCCGGGATATGCCCCATGACATCAGGTCGACAAACGTCTCGCTACCGGCCCGCAGAACACCAGCAGGACCCTGCGGCGCGCAGATATCACCCACCCCCGTCAGGACTCCCTGGATGGCTTGTCCTTCCCTCACAAAGATCTGGACCAGCTCGTCATCACAAGGCTGGTCGAGGTGTATAACAGTATTCTTGCCGGTAGCAGGTCGTCCCCGGTCGGCTAGTTGAGCACAGCATGAGCCATACGCCCACAGCACCAGTGTCGCCAGGAACACAGCGACCGGCTCGTGGAACGCATGGCTGGTGTTGCCCCGCGCATGGAGCAGGGTTGCACCGGCATGGATGATCGTGAGACGGGCCTTGTATTGGTCATGTTTGACCCATCGTAGTATGTAGTGCCATTCCAGGCTCTGTTGACGCTCGCTCCAGCGAACCTTTTCCGTCACGAGCGAGTGGGCTAGCGATCGAATTTCACGGAAGGGTGCAAGTAGAACGATCCGAGCCGAGTGAAGATGCTGGATCGTTGGGTTGCGGAGATCCGCCGCTGTAGCGACCGTGCTGTTGGCGGCCCAGTGGAGTATGTCCAGGGAGTCGCATGCACTGTTGCGCCATTTCGAGTACGAGGGAATCCCGGGAAGCCAGACAGAGCCCGAAGGGATCGCTGTTTGCCGAGACTGTTTCTTAGCGGTCGGGTTCCAGAACGACAATGGTCGGCGAAAGTAATCGCCGACTTCCCACATGCGTTGGTAGAGAGCATGAATCAGCAGGATATGGCCCAACTCCCCAAGATCGGGTACTAGTCTCTTTTCAATGTACATAATCAATACTGCATCGTATAGGGAAAGCTCGGGTTGGCCTAAGACATGTTAGACACTGAGATCGTACTGCACAAATGGCTGTTGTACCTGGACTCTGTTCAAAAATTCCTTGCCAGGTATGAGCTGACTCTGCTTGCCAGAGACTCTCGTGAGCAGGAAGCGCCGCTTTCGCGTCCTCAAGCGAAAAGAATGGCTGTCGATCGAAGTGATAAGCTATAGTACAGTCCACAAGCTATGGCACCTGTTAGCAAGTTCCAGGCATGTTGATACTGTCTAGGCATTATACCCATACTAAGTAGGCCGTCCGTCGTCTGACCTCGTCCTCAATCCAGACCAGCCAGTTCTGCTCTGGTGACTTGTCATGCGATACTGATTTCAATTGTCGGGAAGATTTCAAGAGCTTGGTGCGATTCAACTGACTGGTCAAATCACCGAACCGATCGAGCGCAGAGACTCTAGCCCTTTCATCACTGTTATAAAGCAATCCAATGCAATTGAGAAGGTTTGCTTGGATAAGCCAGAGTGGTGCCTGGTCTTGGTAGGATTTTTCCTTCTATTAATCTCTGATTAGTTGCATCCAGAACGTAAGAGCACGAAATCCTCACCTCAACCATGATAGCTCGACGAAGAAGCTCATGGAGCGCAGAAACACATTCATCTGAATCGTGGAGCCGAGCATAGTGGCTACCTATTGCCGCCAACGCCAAAGTCACTATCCAGTGACATGTGTTTGTACTAAATGTAGGAAGGTGAAACATAGGATAGACGGGTTGGAAATGGTGAAAGTACAGGTGGACAAATTCGGAAAGTACAGTTGCACTTGGCAAAGACTCGGACTCGAATCGCGAGAAAAGGACACTCTCGGCGCAACACAGCTGAACGAAAGCTTTGTGAATCTTCTCGTAGGTGGATATCCCAATCAGAAGACTTGGACCAATTTCGATATCGTGCATGGCGGTGTCTTCGATTATAGGGAACATAAATTGACGGGGCACATTTTCTCTGCCACGAGAACTGAAGCCATCAGGGGAAATTGCGGAGAAATCTGACCAGACATCTTGGTGCCGTCTGGATTTTGACAGTCGAGGTTGAGCTGTGTCCTCTGATAGGTCTGTCGGTCGTTTCGTGGCGCTGGAGAACATTGAGCGACCCGAGTTGTTAGGGCTGTTCTCGTCACTGATTAGTGAAGTGTGTCCTAACGGAGATTTGAAAATATTTTCCTGACTTCCATTAGTCGGATGGATCACCGGCGGATACCATGTTGCATAGTTCATGAACCCATCACGGGCTTCATGTCCCGCGTGGTTCGCTGTAGGAGTGCGTTCGATGAATGTATCATAGGGCCCCTCCCCAGGAAGCCAGTTAATCGCAGGAACAGCTGAGTTCATCGTGTCCAAGAATGGCCCTGATGATCCGAGCTCTCCCTGCTGTGCTATTGTTGGCATGCTCGCGTCATTGCCATGACTGGCTGAAACTGGATGTGGGACGCTCGCTGAGCTCATGGGCTCGGTTGTCTGATTCAATAACTGTATGCCCTGGATAGCAGATAAAGACCTGCGTGATCTTGCTTGGTCGGAACTGTCGCCGGTAGGTCCACGCGTCGTGACTTGGGTCATATCAGATTTCCCCCTGGAAAAGATCAAGTTGGGCCGAGTTGACTGTTCGATCGCATTGACCTCTTGCCCGTTGTTATGAGAGCCGTTCAATAATTTCTCTGGAGCCTCGTCTTGATGTGAAGCAACCGGGTCTACGGACGGCGATTGGTCATCCCTGTTGAGGAGGCCGGGCCCTGGCAATTGAAGCTGGAACTGTGTCATTTGGTAATGGAGAGGCTTTTCAAGGGACGTGTCCCCGCTGTGCGGGGAACGTGCAGCAGAACCTTCAGCCGATGTCGATGTTATAGCAAAAGAAGACTGCCCGTTGAACTCCTCGTCTGGGACCAAGCCTGACTGCGCTGCTTCTTTTCGAGCTTTAGCTTTCGAACGTCTCTCAGTTGGGTACAAACATTCGAGAGATCGGTTCTCGCAGCGCGCACATGGCGTCCCGCCGCTGCATCGCACTCGTGCAAGTGCGCATTTAAAGCACGCCCGGAATGTCTTAACTGTGATACGATGGGTGCGATCCTTTCCACCTTCAATTCCAGCGTTGTGGTGGCTGAGCTCATGCCGGTGCAATGTATCTCTAACCAAGGCCCGTGTTAGTCCCCGCTGAAGACGAAGGCGACGAATGAGAATAAGAGAGCATCTAAGAATGCAAGATAAGACGGCAAGAAACATACGTTCTCGAGAAATGGCGGCCACACTGCGCGCACTCGAATGGCTTCTCTTTCGTATGACTGCGGAAATGGCGCTTTAAATGCTCCGGTCGTCGAAAGGTACTCTGGCATATTGAGCACTTCGTCAGGCTCGCTGTGGAGCCCTGTTGCATTTCTTGATCGTAGGAGTCACCTTCATCCTTTGCTGCTGCCTCCTCAGATTCATGGTGGGTCAGAGCTTCTGCAGAGCCAGAGCTCAATTAGTGGACTCAATCATATCAGGTTCGAAACGAGAATCCAGCGCACCTTGCCCAGCGTCGCTCTTCACCGAGGACATGGCGTCGCATAGACGAGTTTTGATTCAAACACGATCCGAGCAAGTCATGCATGGCAACAGATAAATTGGCGATGTAGACAGGTTACGGAGTTGAGAAGCGAGGATCATCACCAGACAAACAGCAAACTAAACCCATTGTGCCATGTGGTAACACCCTGGTCGCATCTGATCGGAGGAGATAATACCCCACGAAAAATGACGAGAAATGGGAAAAACAAAAAAAGAGAAGAGAAAAAGAAGCAAAGAGCTGGCGGGGGAAAGTGATGATCGAACAATAGGAGTGCAGCAGGGAAGTTCAGGGACTGCCGCTGCCCCGGACCAAGTCACGTCGTCTCATCCTTTGCAGCCTTTTGAGGAAGCGGGGAAATGAACGGTCCTAAATCGAGCCTAACCGTTTAGCGGCGCTTTTTGGGGTCTCCGGGGCCCACGAGTCGCCCCAGCCTCCGCATGCTCGCATGCTCGCATTGGCGCAGTCGGATTAGTCTTGCATCTTTGGGGCCTCGGTTCGGTCGATTTTTCCGCCAGTCGTCGGTTAAATATCCGCATGTGCCCCAGATGCTGGAGCACCCAGTGTACCACAGTGTAACTTGTAACTTGCGATAAGTATGTGGTCAGATTGGGTGCTGCAATTGTCGTGAAGCTCTTCCCCACTGTCAGTCTTTGTCAATGGAACGTATGATGCAGAACAGTATGTGGTGTGGAAGGCTTCAATATTCCTCAGTCAGTTGTTTCGACGGGTATTCGCAAATAGCCGAGAGAGAGTGCAGAGACTTGACTGTTGTTAGGAGGTGTCCTTCTTGCGACACACATCATCATGTGTATAGCACATAGCCATTGCAAAGTCAGACCAAGAGTAGTAAATCCTGCGTAGAACGACTACGGTGTAAATATACGAATGAGCAATAACTACTCTATACTGCTCCAGTTTTGCCAAGTCAATCCTTGATGTTGCTAGCCGTATTGGAGATTAAAAGTGTACTTTGAACAAGAACCCTCAGATCCTGGACAGATAGCTATTGAACAGAGCTTAAATCCGAATCCACTATAGCTCACCGTGAACAGCACTAGCATCACACTGTTTAGGAGTGCTGTACATAGTTCAAGGTTGGATATAACTCTAAGTCAGAATGACCTTGCTGCTCCTGACTGCGAAGCGCATTGATTATTTTGCCCTGGGCTGGGCGACGCACGGACGCTGTCTTGGATTAGCTCAGCAAGGCTAGTTACAGCCAAACTCCCCTAAGCCTGAGATGGAAGAGGCTTTCCAGTCTGAGTCTAGCGCCCTACTACAATCACCCCCCTACCTCTATCAATCGATCTACTCCGTACTATTCACCTCTCTCCATTGCTCGAATGACGTTGTCGTGAGGAAGGATCCTACCAACCTAAACCAACTCGAAAGGAACGGGCAGCGGCAGTACTTCTTCTGGTCCTGACTCTCTCTCCCCCCCCCCACCCGCGCGAAACCTTGGAACGGGCATTCCTGCCTAGACATGAATGGCGAGTTCGACACCCGCTCTGGACCGCCGGCTGTCTCCCCATGTGTCCCCCAGCCAAGTGAGCAGCGCAAGCAGCACGGTGACAGCTCTTCAAGGAGCGACAGCAGCTTTTAATGCAACAAGGTCTGCAAACAGACGCCCCCCTCTTGCCAGTCACCAATCTGGTGCCCAAAAGGGATCGTTCAACATGAACTCTTATGCCTCTGAGTTAGCCTCTCTTCGCAGCAACCAATCTCCAGAGCCACCCGAGATTGGTTCAGTCAAGGACAAGATTGGCAAGTTCAGTGCATACGGACAACCTGACGGCTCCAGGGACGCTCCCCTCAAATTACCGGGGGACATAGGGAGCCTAAGACCACGTACCCCGCAGCAGATCGCCGCCCAGCTTGCGGCGGGGAGATCCACGCCTAGCAAGAAACCAGCTCCTACTCCACGCAGCAGCAGCAGCGCCAGTGTTGACCTTCCAATAAGGCCTGGCGGAGAGCGCGAAAAACCACAGCTCCTAGCACCGAAGCCTGTGTGGGCCACAGCTGCGAGCAAGGCCTCATTTGAGAAGATCTTAAAAGACGAGCAGGTCCCTCGACTCGGAGACAAGCAAATCGAGCGGAAACCTGTCAGGCCGGGTTCTGCTCTATCGGACTTTACGCAGCTGGCTGCAGCAAAGTCTCGACCACCACCAGTGCCTCGAAAACCTTGCCTGCATCCTACTAGCATCAATGTCAATCCGGCATCGGAGAAACCGAAGAACCTTCCCCGATTGCATCCAGCACTCCCTTCGGGAGATCCTATCAGGCCCGACGAAAACCCACCATCATTACCCCCGCGACCGAGCGAAGCACCATCATCATCGAGAATAGACTTGGGAGGTCATCGAGCTCTTCTGAGCAGTAGTGATGGCCGACCGCGACCCTCCAGTCCAGCCTCGGCGTCTATGTATGCGAAATCAGTGACCAACAGTACTCCGAGCCTACTTGATAGTACCTCTGAAGGAGTACTGTCAGATGCAATTGTAGCATCCTCATTAGCATCCACCCGAGCTTCACAGGAGAAGAAAAACGCCCCACCTCCACCACCCCGGCGTCGGCCCCGGTCACGTTCAATCGTGCATCTGGGCCACACCAAGAAACATGATCACCCGCAATCGTCCAGTCCTTCTACTGTGCTACGGCAGACGCTTCGACATCCCAGCAGCTCGGATGAAGACGAGGGGTATCGCCAGCATAAACACATAATACGCAAGCACCCCCACAAACATCATGAAGGTGACCGAAAGCGTTGGCGGAGTGAGGTCAGTGAAAAAGACCGGAAGAAGTACGAAGGAGTCTGGGCGGCAAACAAAGGATTGCTTGTGCCTTTGCCGTCGCAAGTCCCACCCGGCTCATTGCCCCCCGACGCGTCCGAGATGGTAGTCAACCTTGTGGTCCGCGACATCTGGTCTCGCAGCGAGCTTCCATCGCATGTCTTAGAGCAGATCTGGGACCTGGTTGATCATCAGAAGAATGGACTTTTGACCCGCGAGGAGTTTGTGGTGGGGATGTGGTTGATCGACCAGCAGCTAAAAGGGCACAAGCTCCCCGTGCGGGTCCCTGACAGCGTTTGGTTCTCCGTAAAGCGGATATCAGGGATAAGAATACATTCGCTGCCGCCGTCCTGAAACTGATCTATAGGGGAGCTTGCATTAGACCAGTAATATCTGGTTGCAGCCCTGGCTATATAGTGCAATAAATTTTGGTTAAAAAATTCGTTCAGACCTAACCGCCTAACTCTAAGACTCGATAGTCAACGCCTGGACCTACCGTACCGGACACTTTACATGTACCACACCTCCTAGGATGGTGGCGACGGCCGGCGGGACTTTGCAGCTTCTGTGATTGATAAGGCCCTTGTGCTGCAGTACTTTTGTTTAGATATCCTGCCCAGTGTCGATCGACCCAGTCTAGATCCACCACCCCATTCGGCAAAGGTTAATCCTCGGGATTTTCGCGGAGACCGGCTGCGATCGGATTGCAGGTTGGCCGGCAGTCAACAAGCAATCGCCTCTTTTCTGGCAGATGCTGGTTCATGCCATCGGCTTTGCGAGAATGCCCAGAGACTTCATTGCATTCCAGAGCCTCGACCCGACCCGCAATAATGATCGGATTTAATGTGCAAGACAACAGATTCTCACGTGACATCAGACTGGTCATTCCAGACGGTCAATGCAGCTTACCGGAACAGGAAGGAGCTTAGTCCAACTTAAATTGCCGTCGGTCGATCGATCAAATGAAAGAAATATTGGAAAAAAGAAAAAGAAAAGCACTTCAATTCACCAATTTTACACCAAATCAGTGAAAGAACCACAAATCGTGCTTCAATTCTCCGAGTTATGCTAACAATGCACAAATTGGGGAAAAGCAACAATACTTTTTTCGCCTTGTGCAAATTGACTATTTGACTAATCCACGCACTTGCTGCACGCCACTCTTGGAGGATCGTCTGTCAATGGAAGCAAATCCCGAAACACCCACGCTTCGGGATTTGAATCTATGGACCTCGAGGATGAGTAAGCCCGCCGCCGCTCATTCACTCACCAGTCCAAACCAAACCAAACTACAGCCCAGTTCGCCCGATAATGCTACTGTGTACGAGTATATCAGACCACTCTTAGGATCTGTCGATTTACCCACCCAACCTCCCCCCCGATGCGGTTGGCTACCCCGGAAAGCTCCTGGATGGTTATTTCTGCGTGTTTCCCGTCTCATTCTCCCCAGTAGTCCTCGAGTTATGCGCTCCGGGAAAACCTCTATTTAGATCGTGGGTGATGGTAGCACGCCCTGCGGCCGTTGCATGATCTTCCTACCATTTACTCATACTACCCGCTGCAGCTGTGTGTCTCCAGTTCACACCCAAAATGGCCCTGGACGATTCCCAGCAGCCGTACCAAGATGATGGAGTTACGGCAGTTACACAGCCTAGAGCTTCCAAGCCCGCGGTTGTCCGCAAGAAATTTGCAAAGCCTCCAGTCAAAGTAGCGTGTCTTGCGTGGTAAGTGGCGTCGCATCCACCTGGAACTTTGTGCAAGCACTGAGCTTGGTTGTTGTTGCAAGCGACTTGGAATCTTCTCGTCTTGCCGTTCATTGCGACTGATTGATTGTCTATCTCAGTCGTGCTTCCAGAACGAGATGCGATGGTCAAGACCCCTGTACAAACGTATGTATTCTCCCCTCCACAATTCGCAGTTTTCCAGGCCATAGCCTTCATCTCAAGGAGACACATTGTGCCTTGCTCTGTTACTTCAGCCTTCCATGATGGCTCCCTAGACATCCGCAGCGTCTCGCCAAAGTATATGCTGATTTGATCGTGGTGGCAAAGTGTCTTAGCAAAAAGCGAAAGTGCTCCTACCTACCCAGTAAACGAGGAGGTCCTCGGAAAAAGAAGAAGCCCTCGATTCCTTCAGACGAGGCTGTTCAGCAAGATGATGAGCAGAGCGCCATGATCACCCCGCCGTCCTCTGGGTTCAATGATGATTGTAAGCAAGCTGACCCAAGATTGCCAGTTCCTCCCAGCTAACGACGATTCAGCGCCGGAAATGTTCGGCCAGATTGACGTATTGTCAATTCCGGGGGCGGGACTCAGAAGCTTGGACTTCCCTTCGGATGTGCACTCGATGTTCACAGATCTGTTCGTCCCTAATGGCGAGAACAGTATCCCAGTACAGATGGAACCGACCCCTTCGCCATCGAATGTCCCCTCGCAGTCTTTGGTCAGAACTTATGGCAGTGAAATAGAGATGTGAGTAACCATCATTTGAAGCGAGCTTATTACGTCCTCTGACTTCGAAAACAGCTTGAATGCTTACTACGAGTTTGTTCATAATTATTTTCCTATACTTCCGCCGAGATTCGCTCCTCGCGTTCCGGATCGACCTTTGGACGGCGTTGGTTCATTCACAGAGTCCCCTTCAGAAGAACCTGTGATACCTTACCGGCCTCGATCCCCTCTCAGCTGTGCAATTTCAGCTATATTAGCCTTAGTGCCGCATCCGAACGATATTGAATCGTCTAGCCCCGCCTCTGTGGTCCGCCGCCGAACATACGCTCAGATGTTTGCGCAAATGGCGAATCTAAATATCGAGACCGACTGCGAGCTGCAAGCCTCGACCACTGATCCTGCACTGGCGCTGTCCAACGACCGACCTCTTATTGACCGAGCTGCTTTCCATCCTCAAGCGCCCGTGGAGCTTGAGAGCATTCTAGCACTTTTGGTCCTTTCAGTCTACGAGTACACTCAACGGGGAAACCTGTTGAAAATGCGGTATCGTGCCGGTCAAGCCTTGTCTATAGCTTTGGATATGTCTCTGCATTCACTCAGCGACGATTACGATGAGTTTTCTGAAGCTCGGAGAAGAGCTTGGTGGATGACGGTGAGAAGTTCGTACTCTGGTTCTATGGCATTGGTGTCTGACTCTCAGTAGTACTATTGTGTCCTCCAAGGTTCCATTGTTAGCGCCACGGTAAGTTCACTGAAGAGTTATGCATGTCCTTCGAGGAAGTGGCTAACACGCGGGTTCTCAGCCGCTCTCCATCGTCGCCAACGATCCCCAATTTGTCACGCCATATCCACGCTTCGCTGCCGACCCCGATGTGAGTCAACCCAATTTCTTGGTAGCACTTCGATCTCTGACGCTTTTTGCAGGGCTGGTCCGTCTTGATTCAGGCTCAGCAGGTGCTCGTATCGGCAACCCAATTCGTCGTCGACCTCAACAAATGCGTCTCAAGCAGAACGAACATGCAGTACATCTTTGAAAGAATGCAACAACTCGATTCATGGGCCAGCTCCGCATTAGCACAGTCAAACTTACTCCCCATAGTTCCGCAGACCATGTCTTGTCGAGGAGATTTGGAGTCCATAACAGCTCAAAGTATACGCGCGATCTCGCGCATCAAGCTGTCAAGGTGAGGGTCAAACCTCGCACATCGAGATTTCACGCCCGTGCTAACCAACATTGTAGCGCACAAATCAAGATCCACCGCTTCAGAGCATTCTCAGATATACCCATTTTCATCAAGAAGCACTGCGATCTAACCGCAGCCACCACCACCACCACCACAAACTCCATACCAATTGAGACCATCGAAAGCCCAGCGACCCAAGACAGCATCACCCGGGTTGGTTGCGCCTGCAGCAGTCTCGACATGTTCCAGCAGTCCTCATCCGACTATACCCCTTCCTCCGCATCCTCCACCTCGTCAGATTTCTCCTCCTTACCACCTCAGTACTCATTCACCAACGAGTTCCCATACAGCAGCCAACACTCGGCCAAAATCTGTCTCCGGGCCTCTCTCCTGATCTCGCAGATGTTCCACTGTCTCCCGATCCCGCAGCCGCTGCTCTCGGACGATCACCAACCATCCCCACCGGGCCTCCAGCAGCTGCTACCGAGCCAACTTCCCCGCACTATGCCGTCGTTCGCATGCTGTCTCATGCAAGGCAGCTACGCCATGCTGATGATCTTCTACAAGGCCCGCGTCGAGAAACAAATGACCCCACCGGACTACGGCGGCGGCGGCGGCGGCGGCAGCAGCCCGTCCGATCGACTCATCGAGGAGATCCGACAGGGACTGGAACGGATCATCGCCGCGGCGACCAATTACGCGATTGCTTTCGAGGCGCTGGACGGCATGAGAGGTACGCATAACCCCTACTTAACGCCCCGGGCCCGGCGACCGTGCCTTCGCGCTAACAAACTCCTAGATGAAATCGAAGGTGCATACCACACGGCGTTTATTCAAGCATGAAGAGAGAGTCCAAATCTTTTCCTTTCAACACAACCCCTATCTAATTCCTCCCGTACATACATACACCCTTCTCCCCCGCCTCAAACCTAATGAGATCCCTTTATCTACATACCTTCTGTAGAGTTTTCTTTTCGTTTCTCTCTCTCCCCCCCCCTCTTCAACTTCAAAAAGCAAAGGAAACGAATTCTGCATGCCCTGGCGTTATAAACGAGTCCGGATATATGCGTGGACTGGCCTAGTGTATGGGTTTTGGGTTTTGAATCAAGCAATCCAAGCAATCCAAGCAATTTATTTATCTTACCTTGTATCTTCTGTTGAGAAAGCATTTAATGAACTCAAATTCTAGGATTTTCGTCTAGATGTGTTGCTGGTTTGACTATCGTGGAAATGCGGTGCACAGCGATTTTGCAATATCCAGTGTTCGTAGATGATACTACTACTTACTTACCATCCATACAACCCTATACATATACCTCATACCTCATACCTCATACCTTACACCCCGAACCAAACCAAAACAATCAACTCCAAACCAAGACTCAAGTCTCGAGGATCGAGAACCGGATATATTCCACAAGGATCTCCAACTCAAACTCAAATAATAGATTCCTTGAAGCTAAAAACAAGATATTTCTATATTCACAAAACCCGCTCGCTTATTTTCAAACAGCAGCAGAAAAAACCCCCGTAGCGTAAAAAAATGATGTTGTGCTACGGGGCGGCTACAATTTCGACCGGATCCCCTCCAACCGGAACTTCACATCCTTCAGAACCTTACTGGAGGGTTTCCATTCGTCGAACTGTTGGAGCAGTTCCATGGTTTCGGCCGTCAGCTCGCGGCGGACGTACTCCTCCTCGAGGAGGCCGCGCATGGCGAAGGGGAGGATGTACGGGTTGGCGGGGGAAGGGGGTTGCGTGCGTTTGATGCTGAGGAGGGTTTTGGTGGTGGCTGTTGTTGTGAGCGGGAGGGCGGTGGTTTGGAGGGCGAATTGGATAGCGAGGCTGTTTTTCCTCGAGGGTCAGCATTTCACTTGTTGCTTGTTGTTTGTTTGGGGGAGTGCAGAACGTACCGGTAGACTGCGGGGTCGTCGTAGAGGCGGGAGTGGCCTTCGCCGGTGTAGAGACTTCCTGCTAACGGGGAGCTGAGTTCGCGGATGAGGCCGTGGTCTGCAATGCCGAGGTTGCGAAGCTTCAGGACGAAGCCGACTAGGTGTGAAAGACTGAGAGTGGTCAGTGTATGCTGAAGTGATTGAGGGTCAGTGGGTGGTGGCATACAAGCTCGGAGCGTGGACCCTGCCGTCGACAAAGGCTGCGCGGTAGATATACGGATGGGTCACAGGGGTGAATAGTGAGGACTAAAGCGTAATTAGACTCGTTAATAACTGGAGCATCAAACAGCGTTAGAAGGTTGCATACCTCCAAGGAAACCAACTGATCGTCAATGCTGCCAATGTACGATATTCGCACCCCAAAATCTAAGCATGTGCGCAATGCCGCTTCATAATCCCTCGAAACCTGACTGTAGGGCAGGGCAAATTCGAAGAGCTCGCCCGCTGAACCACTAATCCATCGAGATCTGTAGTCGGTGAACGGGCCCAGATTGACGCCCGCCATGGCGCATATACCGACACGGGATGCATTGATGCAGCCAAAGGATATCAACTTAGCAACGAGCATGATTGCCACCGGAACGCCCTGGCTGTGACATGCAATCAGAATGAAGTCCGCCGTTCGGATCTCCTCCATCCAGTTTAGTAGCAGCTTCCATAACAGTTCCACGCGCTCGGCTATACGGCCCTCGCCTTCCAAGGCAATTTTGCCTACGTCGCATTTGTAGCCAAAGTCCTCTGCCCACTTGTGTATGGCTTCAGCTGCCATTGTTGAGAATCTGATCGACGTTCCGGTTGGCTGTCCGAGAACACTCCGTATCAGAGGAGCCGGAAAATACCCGTGTACACCTATGGCGAGTGCCTTCTTGATATGCGGCGGATCCCGGACCATGTAAACATGCTTGTTGTCGGCTTGTTTGTTATAATGCAAGTAGCGCCCTATCGTCTGGAGTATGCCCGGCTTCTCTTCCAAGGCAAATGTGTCCTCGAACCGCGGAAGCACTTGGTTCGGTAGGACCTTCTGGAGTTGTTTTGTTGCTACAGTCTCAGACGGCCCTTGGCTTGGAGCGTTGACATCTGCTTCGGCTCGTGCGGTAGCTTTGTCAAGTAGATTAGCAGTACTCTTAGAAGCCTTAGCTTTGACGCTTCCTTTCTTCACCACCGCCACCCTAGGCTCATTCTCAGGCTCAGGTTCCACGGCAGGCTTCTTCGATGGCTCTTGAGTCATGGAGGCTTCGGCTACCTGGGCATCTTGCGACTTGCCGGGTTCGGAATCCTTCGAAGCATCTCTAAACCAGAAGCTCCACCCGGAAGCCTTTGTGTTCGGATCTAGTGGTTTAACTGGGCCATCTACCTCCCCTTGCATCTCATGCTCTTGGCTCGGTTCAGGTGCTGCATGCGGGACAGAAGATGTGGGTGTGTCGGTTCCACTGGAGGGTTCGATGGGAGTATTTTCCGGGGTCTTTGAGGCGGACGAGCCATACCACATCTGAAGCCAAGACCGCTTCTGGGCTGTCCCAGAGACCTCAGATGTTTCGGCGGACTGCTCCTGGTCTGCTTCTGTTTCTGCTACTGTTGGATTTTGGTCTTCTATCGTCCTTTCTTCCTCTTTGTTGTCTGGTGTTTCCGATGGTGGCTCCTCTGGCTTCGCCATTTGGTCTTGTGGGCCAGATCTATCAGCTGTCGATGATCCATAGAGCCACGAAAACCATCCGCCTGCTTGGGAGCCAGACTGTACACCGGAGTCTACACCTGCAGCACTGTCGCCCGCGACAGCAGTCGTGGGGGCTGTGTTTGACGGTTCGTTGCGCGTACCCTCCGCCACAGCTGAGCCTCTGTCACTGGGTGCAACCTCCTCGACTGGATTCGCTGCCACTGTAGTACGATCTGATCGGGCGTCGTCTGCCGGAGTCGACGCAGTACCATCTGAAGCTATATTGACTATGGTTGTTGTAGCGCTGGCGGGGAGGGAGCGGCTAGATGCAGTATCCTTTCGAGTCAACTGGAGAGATGGATGGCGAGACTGCCTGGGGGCCACGCTCAGTTGGGAAGTTGACGAGGAGGTGAGTCGCGGGGGTGTTGGGGAGATGTTCTGGGCGGCGGAAATGCTCTCACGGGCAACCTCGGTAACCGGGGCGGCTTTAGATGCTCTTGAAACGGCCGGCCATGCAGTTGGGTACCAGCTCTGTGTCTAGGAGAGAGGCAGATATCAGCTACACCAGCCATGGCCCCATAGTTGTTCCGGCAACGCTATGGGGAAATCCGAGACTCACCACACCGCTTCCTCTCTTTTGCGCACGAGCACGTTGTTTGGCTGTGGAACCGGAGACCGCACTGTCATTCGAGGATGTAGTCGAACGGGCATCCGCGCCTGGCGGGCTGGGCTTTACTCTCTTACGAGATCCCATGGATGGCATGGAAGTTTAACAGTGGCATCACCAAAGACGTGGGGTGGGAGGGTGTATGAAATCGATATATTGCGGGTTAAGTGGTAGGGGGTGGTGGGTGGGGATCGAAGCATAAAGAAGCCTTCTTGTTGGAAAAGGGTGGGCACGAGGCCTTCGTACTGTAAGTAAGTATGGAAGATGAAAGACCTAGCAGGCTAATACTAGTAAATCTAGTAGCGAGAAGTGATGTCTGCTGGAAGGGGGGAAGGTTGAGGATGAGAAGTGATTTGGTTGGGGGTCGAGTTGTTCTCAAGGCCGAGGGGCGATTGGCCTGCAACTCCTCCTTCCCTCCGTAATAACAGTCAGTGGAAGTACTGTATTCCGTACTCCGTATACTATCAGTTACAGTACGGTGATATCACGTCACATGCTGACCGTCTCTTTGTTGCGTCCTCAGGCACGGAAGCAGAGACAAACGCATCAAACAGCAAACAGCAAACTCACATGTGGCTCAGTCCCGCACCGCCACATCCAAAGACCAGAAAGGGGAAATTTTTTATTGTACTGTAAGTTTCGGGGCGGACTGTGGAGAACATTTGAAAGGCCTGGCTCAGCTGGCTGGCTGACTCGATCCATTCAAGCCCGCCCGATAACTTTTTTTTCCCGTGCATAGAGAGAAAGCAAGTTACTCCAACCAACCCTTTCTTTCTCTCTCTTTACCAACTCTTTCTTTTTATTTCGCCAGTCCGGGTCTTGACGTCGAGACTTTCTCGACCACCCGCTTATCACAATGGCGATTCAAAAGAAGGTATTGTGGAATCCCACCGCGTCTCCAGTGAAGCAATTTGGACTGACAACAACCAGCACGGTAAAGGTCGTTTGGATAAGTGGTATCGCCTTGCGAAGGAAAAGGGATACAGAGCTAGATCTGCGTTCAAGTTGGTCCAGCTCAACAAGAAGTATGGTTTCTTGCAGAAGAGCAAGGTCCTCATCGATCTTTGCGCGGCGCCCGGTGTAAGTAACCAACCTACGGAATATCTTCGATTCGGTTTCTATTGGGCCGTTGAATCTGACTCTCTCCTCCATAGGGTTGGTGTCAAGTCGCTGCAGAATGTATGCCCGCCCAGAGTATCATCGTCGGTGTCGATCTTGCTCCCATCAAGCCTATTCCCCGTGTGATCTCGTTCCAAGCCGACATCACGACCGACAAGTGTCGCGCCACCCTTAGACAACACCTGAAGCACTGGAAGGCGGATACGGTCCTTCACGATGGTGCCCCCAACGTCGGTACGGCGTGGGCGCAGGATGCCTTCTCCCAGTCCGAGCTAGTGCTGCAGTCCATGAAGCTGGCGACCGAGTTCTTGGCCGAGGGCGGTACATTCGTGACCAAGGTTTTCCGGTCGAAGGATTACAACCCCCTGCTGTGGGTCTTCAAGCAGCTCTTCACCTCGGTCGAGGCGACGAAGCCCCCCTCTTCCCGAAATGTGTCGGCCGAAATCTTCGTCGTCTGCCGCGGCTACAAGGCCCCCAAGCACCTGGACCCCAAGTTCCTCGACCCTAAGCACGTCTTCGCCGAGCTCGCGGACCCGACCCCCAACAACGAGGCCAAGGTCTTCAACCCGGAGAAGAAGAAGAGAAAGAGAGAAGGTTACGAAGAGGGCGACTACACACAGTTCAAGGAATGCTCGGTCTCGGAGTTCATCAACACCACCGACCCGATCGCCATTCTCGGTTCATACAACAAGCTCAGCTTCACACAGACCCCCGGTGGAGATCTCGCGCTCGCCACCTTGGATCGACTAGAGGAGACCACAGACGAGATCCGCAAATGCTGTGATGATTTGAAGGTCCTGGGTAAGAAGGAATTCCGGAACTTGCTCAAATGGCGTCTCAAGGTCCGGGAGAAGTTCGGCCTCGTCACGAAGAAGGGACAGCAGCAGAAGGGCGAAGAGGCCGAAGAAGTTGCGGAGATCGCCCCCATGGATGAGGAGCTGGCTATCCAGGAAGAACTGCTCCGACTCCGCGAGAAGGAAACGTCCAAGATGAAGAGGGAAAGACGCAAGGAGAACGAGAAGAAGCGCAAGGAAATTGTCCGTATGCAGATGCACATGACGACGCCCATGGACATCGGTATGGAACAGCTGGGACCCGGCGGAGACGATGCAACCTTCTCCATCAAGCCTGTCGACCGGAATAATGCCCGTGATGTCATCGCAGCTGGCAAGGAGGCTACGATCGAAAGCGACAGCGAGGGCAGTGACGACGAATCCGATATAGAGGAGAGCGACGAAGAGGGCGACCGCCTTGAGCGCGAACTGGACACTTTGTATGAGCGATACCAGGAGCGCAAGGAGGATAAGGACACTAAGCTGCGGGCCAAGAAAGCTAGAAAGGGCTACGAGGCTGACGAATGGGATGGCTTCTCGGATGAGAACAAGGGAGATAGCGACGATGAAGAAGAGGAGGAGACTAGTGCTGCGGTAAATGGCGTGCAAGCACCGAAGTCTGGATCGCTTTCCAACCACGCCGCGCTATTCTTTGACCAGGACATGTTCGAAGGTCTCGAGGATATCGATGATGTGGAAGACGAGGAAGAGGAGGAAGAAGACGATGATGAAGAGGAAGATGAAGAAGATGAAGAGGATGACTCTGAGGAGGATTCTGAGGAGGAAAGTGCTGTTGAGGTCGACAACCGTCGTAAGGCCAAGCAAGCCAAGAACTCGAAGCAGAAGGCCGAAGACTCCGAGGATGAGGAGCCTGTTCAGCTCGAGGACCCGCGGAAGGCCAATGGACAGCTTGGTAAGTCTACAGATTCATGTCTACTGTCTGTCAAGGCTATGAAGACTAACATGTACACTACTAGACATCGATATCATCACCGCAGAGGCCATGGCTCTGGCGCAACAGATGGCTACGGGTGAAAAGAAACAGAATGACGTGGTTGACGACGGGTTCAACCGCTACGCCTTTCGGGATGTCGACGGTCTGCCGGAGTGGTTCCTTGACGATGAGGGCAAGCACAGTGCCCCGAACCGCCCCATCACCAAGGCGGCAGCTGCCGCCATCAAGGAGAAGTGGCGTGCTATCAACGCTCGCCCTATCAAGAAGGTGATGGAGGCCAAGGGCCGGAAGAAGTTCAAGGCTGCCCAGCGGTTGGAGAAGTTGCGCAAGAAGTCCGCCTTGTTGGCGGATGACGAGGCTCTGAGTGAGAGAGACAAGGCGCAATCGATTGCGAAACTGATGGCGCGTGCCACGAAGAAGAAGCCCAAGACGCAAGTGAAGCTGGTGGTGGCCAAGGGTGCCAACCGGGGTATCTCGGGTCGTCCCAAGGGTGTCAAGGGTCGGTACAAGATCGTGGATTCCCGTATGAAGAAGGATATCCGGGCGCAGAAGCGGGTTGCGAAGAAGAAGCAGAAATAGAAGCGCCGAGGGATTGTGTAATGGTGCACAAAATGATGGTTGTTCGCAGTCTGGATTCTTGTAAATACCCTCCCTCAAAATCTCACGATACCTACTGTTGTGCATTTGTTTTGCATGTGTTACTGGGAAGGTGTGTATTTACTGCACTATATGTAGTCGATAAAGAGCACACCCACCTTGTCTTGTTTGTTTTAAGGTGAGGTGAAACAGAAACCCATAGAGATGCAGAGATGCAGAGATGCAGACTAGACTGACTCGTATCTCACTACTATATTCTTTCACGCTAAGGGAAGGGTGCAGCTGAGAGGATCGGATCCGAAGTGGCGGGCGGCAACTGGCATCGGACGGTGTCTTGGCGGACTCGAGGGAAGGAAGAAGGAAGAAGCATCGAGGATCGGGTCCGGTCCTCCTCATCACCGCCCACCTCTTCTGGATATCATTTTCGAGCACCTCCTCCTAAGTTACTGGAGTTAATCGGCTCCGCGGGTTTTTTTTTTTTTTATTCCCTTCCTCTTTCTCTCTCTCCCTCTTCGCTGCCCACCCGCCGCCCGCCGCCCGCCGTCAACCCGCTTTGTTTTGTACGGCAACCTTACATTCTGCATACTATTCTTCGCATCATTTACATACTTACACTACACTACCATACACTCTTTACTTCTTGTCCTTTTTGCTTTGGGGAAAAGTCCCCCGTACATATGTTGTACCTCGTATCATAAGTTGTCTTTTACTACCCCCTCCCCCCCTTTTACACTTGTATAGTCAATACTTGCATTCACCGTTCACCGTATTTCTTGCATCATATCACCTTCTCCCGCTCTCATACAAAAAAGTGCGACTGCGACCCGCCCGCCCGCCCGCCTCCTGCCCCTCCAACCCTCATGGGATTTTTCGACCACCTCCAAAAAGGAGGGGCCTTCTCACTGCAGCCCAAGAAGCCTCAGATTCGCAAAGTCGTCCAGACCCGAACCGCTCCTCCTACCTCCCGCTCTCCCTCGCACACGCCAGGACACAATCCCTCCCCGCGGACGCCATCCGTCCAGCTCAAAACTCGAGAAGCGTCTGGCAGTCGGTCCGTCTCGAGGGATCGCAACGATCTCCCTTCCTCATCCTCGAAGCGCCGGCATGGCACCCCCATCCAAGGCAATCGCAAGCGTCAAACCCCCGAATTGCGCCTCTCCAGCGATGATGACGCCAGCAGCGACTCTGATACTTCATCCTTCGAGGTCCGTAAACGGGCCCGGACGGGCGACAGCGCGGAGCCGGACCCTCACCGGCGCGTGCGCTCACTGAAGGCTTTCGTCGAGGACAACGGCAGCAGTGGTGGTGGTGGTGGTCCCAGACGGCTGCCCATGATCCATGCGGCGGAGATCACCTCGGCCCAGAAGGAAGGGAATTTCAAGCCGGCGTTTGGAGCGTCGAGGCCATTGCCAGAGATTTCCCTGCAGTATCCGAGTAACTCTCCGAAGGAAAGGTATGAGAACTTCCATCAGGTTCTTTCCTCGAATTTTCTGCTTTTCGTCCCATGTTTTGCGTTTCGTCTGAATGTCGGCCTAACATGATTTTTTCCGGCCTGTAGGTATAAACTTGTCGTTCCCCGCGACAACGACGATTTCAAACCCATCGACGATATCGTTCAAGTCATCGAGATTGTGGCTCAGAACTTCATCCCGGAAGACGAGGTGGGCGAGTTTGACGATGAGACGAATGGGATCAAGCGCCGACTCCGGCGAGCCCTGGCGCAATCGTCCGAAGCGCAGTTGCGGGAAACGGTGGCCGACTATAACCATGCTATTACACGATTGAGGCGCAACGGGAGCATTGCCAAGAAACTCGATTCGATGGGCCGTCTCAATTTGCCGCTGGTGGAGAGAATCTTGAACCAGATCTACTCGCGAACCGTCTCGCCTCGGGTCGAATCACTGCGGCAGTATGAAAACGGGACGGACAACGTTTATGGGGAGCTGCTTCCTCGATTTATTAGCACCATCTTCAAGGAGACGGGCTTGAAGTCTGGCCAGGTCTTTGTGGATTTAGGTTCTGGCGTGGGCAATGTGGTTTTGCAGGCAGCGCTGGAGATAGGGTGCGAAAGTTGGGGCTGTGAGATGATGCAGAATGCCTGTGAGCTCGCGGAACTCCAACAAGCGGAGTTCCGCGCGAGATGCCGGCTATGGGGCATTGCCCCCGGGAAAACGCACTTGATCCGCGGCGACTTCTTGAAGCAGCAAAGCATCGTCGATGTTCTGAAGCGGGCGGACGTCGTCCTGATCAATAACCAGGCGTTCACCCCCCAGCTGAACAACGAGCTGATCAACCATTTCCTGGACATGAAGGAGGGCTGTCAGATTGTGTCACTTAAGTCGTTTGTCCCGGCGGGCCACAAGATTCAAGCCCGCAACCTCAATTCGCCCATCAACCTGCTCACAGTCAAACAACGAAATTACTGGTCCAATAGCGTCAGCTGGACCGACGTTGGCGGCACATATTTCATCGCCAGGAAGGATAGTTCCCAGCTGAAGGCCTTTGTTGAAAGCCAAGGGTGAATGGTTCTTGGCCTAGCTGCAACAAACGGGTGCATGATTGTCACGGCAACTCTTGGGTAACGACCGCGATGATTTTTTTCTTGTATCGATGGCTCCCTGGACACACGTGATATATATGTCCATTTTTTTTTCTACATAGTTTTCATTTTTCCAGATCCCTCCTTGGTGTCCCTGAGTTCGATTTTGGGAGGAATACTCCGGGGCTCCAGGCATGATACCACCTTTTTTTTTTCTCTTCGGACCGGCATCTATACTAAACCAGCGCTTTGCTATTTTTCATCCATCGTCAGTTTCATTTTCCGCTCTTGGTCCAGGTTGGGTATTTAGGCCATCGCGCGTGAGCCTGGATCTGTCTCTCTGGACCAACTGCTACTGTGAATAACTAGTTCATGGGTATCATTGTGCATAGAAAGCTCTGACACATATCCTAAAGAAATCCCGCCCAGCCCGATGCTTGGGTACGGGGGAAATGATCAAAGCAGAAACTCTTCTGGCAGCGTGAAATAAGGAAATCTCCCACCCTGTAATGTCCGCGTCCCTCCCCCATAACCTCTGGGGCGTCTAGATCTACGAGAACCTCGAATTCGCATTCATGGCATCCGCCTCCTGCCCGACCTTGGCCATCCAGCGATCCACCAGGTCCTGGTTTTCTTGCTGGAACCGCGCAGACCGCTCCTCGGCCATATTCAGTTGGAGATTCAGCGACGCCATCTCGTCTTGGAAATCCTGTAGCCACCACCCCCGCATAGGTCAGTCAGTCAGTCAGTTGGTTGAAGGCTCAACATCCCACCCCCCCCCCCCCCCTGGTCCTAAAAACAAACCAACCAAGTAATAGGGTGAGTGCAGCAACCATACCTCCAACAACTTCGCCTTCCCCCGCAACTCCTCATCCCGATCCTTCAACCGCATCTGCAGATGCGCGACCTCCTGCTCGAACCCCTGGAGGCGTCGCCCGTCCTGGGCGTGGCGCTTGCGAAGCCGCTCCAGCTCCGCCGTCATCCGGGTGAGCTGGGCCTGCAGCTCCGAGCGGGATCGTTGCGCCGCGGCGAGCGACGCGAGGAGGGTTTCTTGTTCTTGTTGCGGGGCGGGTGGTGTTGGTGCGGATGGGGCTGGGGGAGGGACATGGTGTTTTGTGGTTGTGGTCGCACGCGGACCTTCACCCGCTGGAGTTTGTAGGCTGGTGGTGGTGGCGGTGGTGGTGGATGCGGTTCGGTCGGCGAGTTGGGTATCTTTGGTTTGTTTGGGGTTAGATTTGCGGGGAATTCACTACTTTTTTGGGGGGGGGGGGGGGGGGGCGGTCGGCGAGTTGGGTATCTTTGGTTTGTTTGGGGTTAGATTTGCGGGGAATTCACTACTTTTTTGGGGGGG